AAGTGCGCTGTCTGTGTTGTTCAGCTGCTTTTATAAACTAAGGCAAAAAAAAAAACCCACGCTTTGCTACGAAGTGCCATCTGAGGTGAGAGCAGTGAAGTAGGGGCTGTGACGGGAAGCAGGCTCTGACCCCGCTTCCCCTGCAGGAAGAGAAGCCCAAGGAGACTTAAGTGGGCATCCAGAGTGGGGGAGGAGGCTGGAACAGCTGACCCAGTTCTTCCTGCTCACATAATGCAAAAATTAAGGTGGGTGTTGCTTGACAAAGTGACGAGGCAGTAAGCAGGAGCCAAAGCTGGCAGCCCAGTGGTTCTTCAGATGCTTTTCAGGGCTATAAGGGACTCCCACTGCTCTCCTAGAACCAGGGCCAAGCAATCTGACATGTATTCTGTCTTTCCCTGACATCCTGATTGCTCAATGTCTTCCGCTTGTTCCATGGCTTCAGAAACATGATCCAAGATCCCTCCGCCCCTCCCAGCTGGACGGGGTCACAGTGTGGTAACAACCAGGCCTTGCGAACCATGTTGTTGGGTCACAGGCAGCTGCAGGCAGAGGAGGGAGAGTGGGCAAGAGCCATGGGTCTGATTTGGACATCAACAACACAAATTTTGTGTAGGAGAGTGGGAAAGAAGGGTGGAGGAGCTGCTGGTCTTCCTGTAGAGCTGGTTTATTCTCTTATCATGCCCTCCATTAGTGTGGACTTCTCTGTAACCAGCAATCAACTCTTTGGGGGAAGGTTTCTGATGAGCTGGAGCATCTCTGTTTCTCAAATTTGGGAGAACATAGTCAGCATCTCGTCAGCATCTCAGGCTTCTCTCCTGCACTCTCTCCTGCCACTTTCTGTGTGGCAAGAGGAACAGGAGAAACTGCTCTGTCCCTCACTGGTGCCTAGAGCAAGGAGGGGATGTGATCTGCCCTGGGGGCAGATTACATATGCAGGAGGCACAAGGGCATGCTGAAAGTGATTTACTTTTCATGCAAGCATCTTATGACACAAACTGCTCAACAGTCTAGCCTTGAGAATTTTGGCCAGTTGCAAAGCCCCTGCTGTGCTACCTCTTGGTGCTCACCCAACCATAAGCTGGTATTTGACCTCAGAGGCCAGTAGATCCAAGCTATAGATCTGTCTCTTGCCCCCAGAATAGCTCTGTCACCCACAGCTTTTAGAGATGCAGGAAGCTCAAGCATATGCTGCTGCTGCAGCCAGCCAAAAATCACAGAGCCTTCTGTGGCCTGATCAGCTGGTCATGGCTTCAAACACGAAGCAAGAGCCTTGGGGCTACTCGGCTGTCATTAAAATGGTGTGGATAGAAGGAAAAGTTTAATTGACTGAACAACAGCCCGCACCGTGTAATTAAACTAATTGTGGCTCTACCTGCACAGGTCAAAAGTGATTTGCGTGGCTGTTACAGCTCTGACAAAGAAGAGGTGGGGAGGTGCGATAGCACTTTTTTCCCCACGCGTTTCCACAAGTAATTTTGCTGTTTCATTTCAGGCAATTTTACGCCATTGAAATTTTTGTTTCTGTCAGATTTGAGGAGACTGTTAATATTTCACGCTAAAGCAGGGGAAAGTGAAAAGGTCACCATTGTTAGCAGTTTCAGGCTGCAGCATTTCAAGTGGAGGTAATACATTTTCAGGGCTATTTTCTTATTTTCGGAGAAACTCCTCTAAAAGGAGGCAGAGGACTATTTTCCAGAAGGCTCTGCAGCCTGGCTTTGCAACCAAGAGAGACTATGCAATTGTTTCCATCAACCTGAACAACAGAAGACCAGGCCTTCTGCATGGCACTGTGAAACTCAAGTTACTGCTTCACTGCTAGGGATTTGTGACCCCTGGTTTTAGTGGCTATTTTGAGAGTCTTGACTCTAGTTCATGATGCATTTAGAAGAAGCTGAACAAGAAACCTGCTGCAGTGTCATGTTTAAACTCTTTGACCTTGTTTTCAAGGCCTTGCCAAGCACAGCCCACCTCCAGCTGGTAACTCTACTCTTATTGATTATCATTCTCAGTCCTTCAGGCTTTTTGCTGTGCCCAAAGTGCCATGCACTTTTCAGAACAAATAATGTGACATGACAGAGCTGCTGTGCCCACACTGATTTCTCCAGGCTGTCAACACAGCCCTGTGCTTGGAATGGAAGAGACAATGTGGTCAAGCAGAGAAGCTGGTACATTTTGTCCTGATAGGACTGCTCGACCAGTATGTGAACTTGTGCCCAAACAGAGAAGTCAAACACTGCACCTGGGAGCAGATGATGCCAGGATTATTCCTGACCAGATCTGTATGTCCTGGGAAGAGACATGTGGACCTTGCCACCATGATTGTAGGGCAGATCTCAGGGACAATGCAGCTCTACAGGCATCAGACTGCTCTTGTCAGCACACTCTGCACCTCAACTGAAATTGCTTTTTAAGACTTCTGTGCTTTATTTGAAATGAGACACTTGAGAGCAGATGCATGGGAAACGCAGACATGGTCTCTTCTCAGCCTCTTTTCCCAGGTCACAGTGATAGGACAAGAGGAAATGGTTTTAAGTTGCACCAGGGGAGGTTCAGATCAGTATTAGGAAAAAATTCTTCTCAGAAAGAGTGGTGAGGCATTGGAACAGGCTGCCCAATGAGGTGGTGGTGCCACCGACCCTGGAGATGTTCAAGAAATATGTGGATGGGGCACTGAAGGACATGATTTAGTGGGCTTGGTATTTTCCAACCTTAATGATTCTATGATCCTATGGTCATCCGCAGCCTGGAGGCTACTCAGAACTTTCTCAAGAGAGATGACATGTCCCACTGCTCGTACCCCTCACTGAGTAATGTGTTCAATGGCGAGGGAAGAGTTGAAAAGGATGTGCCCCAGGGCTAAATTTCTTTCTGACAGATGTATCTCTGATAGATGTGTGATGGAAGAAAAATCCATCAGACTTGATTAAACCTCAAAACGCAGGTGCAAAACCTGGCTCAGGAAGCTGGATATACTATGAGAGACATCACTCTAAACTTCTTGTGGTCCTCTATTTTTTGTCTAATCATCCACCACTGTAAGAGACAGGACAGTATGTAGGAAGGACCTTCAGTGGGTTCAGTTTTCATGATGTCCCTTGGCTATAGGAAAACATACATAAATCTAGTTAAAGACTGGCAGAATTTGTTTTTCTTGAGCTGGAGATGATGGAACTCACTTCTCAGGGTAGAAGAAACTGTCAATATGGTCTACTGCTCCTTTATCATCCTAACCTCTAGCACATGAAATATAGAGTGTTATCACCTACGTACAGTATTGCTACTGAGCTGCGGCAGCAAGAACAGATGAAAAGAGCACAGAGAGAGCAGGATATATATATTAAGATAACAGCTTACCTACTGGTTTTTGTCTCAGGAAAAAAAAAAAAGTCAAAATGGTTTCTGCTGAGCCTAATTTGTTATGTCTCCAGGCATAGCTAATTATCCTGACTTAGCCCAGCTCTGAATTCTTCCCAGGGGTTTTGGTGCTATTTCTTCTGTTTTGATTTATAAATTGTCTTTATTTTACTTTCCTCCTACATGCTCCGTATAATCTTTTTACTCCTTGCCTTTCTGAGGAGCTGGGAGTTGGTGTGACAGTGCTATTACGAAGTGTAAGATGGAAAAGGAGATCCATTAGCCACTATGCTGGGTGTCCAGAAATGCTTTCTTCTGGCATCTGCGTCATGGGCTATTTGAAACTGTCTCTTCTCCTCATGAGGTGCCTGTGTGCAGTCACTTACTGCTGGGCTTACCTGCAACCACCCTTGGGCTAAAGGAGCCATGCATCTCTAGGCTGGCTTTGAAACTCATAGGGCTTCGGTTACAGCTTTTATCCTACAGCTAGGAGTACTCTCTTGATGTAGAGAATGAATTATGGTGGAATGAATTACAGTTATTTTCTTTGTAATTGGCATAGTTTTTCTAACCTCCATAGCAAATTCTGTAGAGGAAGGAAATCCATTTGCTGTAGTCATGGAGTAAACAGGAGATGATGCTGTCATTTAGCCTGGACTTGGGAGGGTGTCTCTGTTAAAAAAAATTTTAGAAACTCACAAGCATCCTGCAGGGCAAATGGGTGGTATTTGGTTAGGCAATGAGGCTAGCAAGAATAAGAGGCTCAAGTAGGGCCAGTTTTAACTGCTACGGCATGCCACCTCCTCATAGCATTGCTTTATTTCCTGATATATCCACTTTATGTTTATTTCTAATTTGTGCATCTGGGAACGTATTTGTCAACAGACTTCTCTGGCAGACTGCAACACTGGTCACAGTGATGGCCCCTGGTGGAGGCTTAAATTCACACTTCTGGATAATGGCTTGAGACATGACAGAGAGAAAATACCTTACTGGCCACAGGCCCATCTTCTGCGCTGGCCAAAGGCAGGTGTTGAGGGGAGAGGAGGCAGCCAGAAGAAATACTGACTTAGAAGAATACTGACTTAGTGCAATCTCAGTGGCTCACGGGCTGCCTATATCCACTCATGTCCTTAGTGCGAGTGCTGTTGCAAAAGCCATAGACACCAGCCATGGATGGGCAGCTGGGCCACACCATCTCTCAGATGGCTCTGTGGCCAGTGCCCTCAGTTTCAAGGCTGGATCTGGTGGATGTATCTCCTCTGATGTGCGCTTCTCTACTATCTCTTCAACATGCCAGATAAATGTCTCTGCTGAACTGCTCCATGGGTAACTCACTGTTACTGCGCTCACATGTGAACACTGGTCCCAGAGCTTTTCACAGAGCAAGTGTTGGGATGAGGGGGAGATGAGGGGTGAAGCATTTGCTATACGCTGGTAACAAACAGCTCTATGCCCATTGTTAGCAGCCTGTGACTGTAGCTCTTCTGAAGGGCAGAATTATCCTGTTTCACCTCTAGGGAAAGCAGGGAGGCTGCTTTAGTGCGCATGAGTCTACCTAGCAAGTCTACTTCAGCTAAGTGAGGCCCTACCCTGAACCTGACACATACACAAGGTAATTTCTTTCTCTGCTTTCTTGCCAGGAGGTTTGCGCAGCACTTCCAGTTTCATCTAAGTTTGACCAGGGCCGAGGCTGCCATTTCAGCTCTTCCAGCCCCTGAGCAAGGGCAGCCATACACCTGAGTCACCATGGGCAAGATGGACAACACCTCTGTGGAGCTGAGCTCTCCCTCTGAGGTGAAACAAGCAGCCTTGGAAGAGCCGGAGCCCATTGCCCCAGAGGCCCCAAGCACCAAGAAGAAGATCCCAGACAGGGGCTCTTGGAAGGGGAGGTTTGACTTCCTACTGTCCTGTGTGGGCTATGCCATTGGGCTGGGCAACGTCTGGCGCTTTCCTTATCTCTGTGGCAAGAATGGAGGAGGTGAGTGTAGCAGAAATGCTAAGTCATGGCTTGAAACAGTGATTGAGCAGCTGGTGGGAAGACACAGCCAACCCAGGGAAGCTCAGGTGCATGCAGTGTACCAGAGTGACTGAAAGGGGGTGGAGCAAGGATCAAGCCCTTCACAGACCTCATTTAAGGGTTGGCAGTGGAGACAAGGGTAACTTGCTGGAGATCCCTGCCTGCTTGAGGCTTAAAAGGACAAGCAAATTTTCTTCCTTCATTTCTCTGCCCATGGCTACAGCATTTGGGCTTGTCCTCATTTGCTGCAGTCTATGACTTTGCTCCCTCGCTGTTATTGCTGTGTTTTCCATCATGTTGTAGCATTGCAGTAAGAGAAACATATAACATCTTTTCTCAATTTTGAGCAGCCTGTTCCCTGGACAGGCTCTGGGTTATGTGGGTCTGTGCAAGTGGCTAGTGGGCAGATGGAAACAGTGCTGGGCCAGAAATCAAGAGAGCTAGAAGGTCAGTTCCCTCCCCAGTTTCGGACTAGCTGCATGAATTGAATGAAATCATAAAACACACCATTGTGCTTTTCTTTGTAAAATGGTAATGTTTCTTCAGCATCATCACAGAGATGCCTTTGTAGAGGGGAATATGTGCTACTCTGACATCAGCAGAGCAGACAGCTCTTCTCCCCCACATCTGTCTCTCTGTGTTTTTGCCTTTTAGTAAATTAACCTTCCCTACCTCCTTAATGTGCTGCTTACCTCCTTGAGCTATTCCTCAGAGTTCCCCATAAGTCCAAATTCCTTCATCTCACCTTTCAGACGGTACGTATAGTTTATTATCATGTCAGCCTTCTTGTGCTGGTGATTACTTTCCTCTTAGCTCTCCCCTTCCCAGAGTTTCTGTCATGGAGTCGTAGAATCATTAATGTTGGAAAAAACGATTAAGCATGAGTGAATGTTTCCCCAATGTTGGAAAAAAAAACAATTTTGCAACACGAGGGTCATGTTCATTCATGCAGCTCTGAGGGTCTCCTGTTCTCACTTACTTTCTCCACACCTTTATCCCTTCCCTCAAGTTTCGTTTTCAAAACCTACTTCTTCTGTGGCTATCATGACTGTTTCTCATCGCTTCAGCTCACCCACACTGTCCCTCCCTTTTCCCACCATTTTCAGGGCTATGATGCAGGTTTCCAGTGCCCATACCTGGTACCAGTACCCATGTTTGCTCAGATTTAGCCCATCCTCTGCTCTGTGTTGGCTCTGCAATCTCAGACACACTGCATACATGGCTGCCCATCACATATATGCCTCGCATATAAAAGTGGGGATGGTAATACCTATAATTAGAGATTTATTTGAGATAAAATCAATCCTATTTATAAAACCAGCTGAGATCCTAAGAGGGACTGAACTGCGGAGGTGTAAAATGCTGTAATTAGCATTAGTAATGGCACAGGGGGTAATTTCTGACCTGGCAGCTGCAGGCACACCGAGGGACCAGCTGGCTGCCAGCCAAAGTGCTGTGCAGGTGTAATAGGGGAACCGGTACCTGTGTTCTCATTCCTACCTCACATGCTGGGCTGTGCAGCTAGTGGCAGCCTGCACCTCTTGTTCTGCTTACCCTGGCCTGCTCTGGCTGTTCCCACAGCCAGCAATGAGAAGCAGTGAACGTCTGATGCCTGTAAGGGACAGAAGTGACGCACACAAGCGTCACTGGCTGCCAGTGGGGAGCAGCGAGGAAGGGTCGTGCTGCATCTGATGGCAGCTCCTGGCACGGCCCCAGCGGAGCAGGCAGAGGGTGGGATACTAATTTTAGCATCCTTCATGTGAACTGCATGGGGTGTGGGCTGTGGGCTGCTTCCATTACGCACAGGCCAACTGGACTGAATGGAAATACCATGGCTTACTTACTGCCATCACATTGTATCAGCTCATGGCTCACTTGCTCTGTGCTGTAATCGGGCATGTAGTTAGGGGATATTCACCCTGGGTACAGCGGCCTTCCATGAGCCCCATCCGCTGCACAGAGCAGGCATCACCCCAAGAGATGCCTGGCTCCCCACTGGCTCTGTGTGCTGATGGATGCGTGTGCCCAGCAATGACTAACACTCAGCCCTGTGCTGTCCTTCTGATGTCAACAGAAATTTGCTGGACTCCAGTCTGACTCTAAATGTGGCTCAGAAGGTGCTAAAAATTGTCTATCAGATCCTGAGCTTGAATAACTTGAGAGAAACGTTTCTTTAAATAAGCATCACACACTTCTCATTTGCACTTTGAGATGCCAAGAAAAGGCACATAGCAGCTTGTAATGCTCAGCTCCTCATCCGTGGGCAGTGTTTGCTGGTTTAAGACTGCTATACCTCCCTATATGGCATGAGAGCTGAAAACTGCAGAGGGGTGTGAGGCCAGGCACACAGATTTTAGGTACAAATTCCTGAACTGATGTCATAGCTGGCAGTGCAGCTTTGGGTGTGTTCTTAGAGCGTGCTGAGGGACCTAGCCTTCCAGAGCAGTACCACCCCTGCCAATAGCCCTCAGCTCAAGGCTGCAGCCTGGCTGGTAGATTTGCTCCTATTCCAGAGGACTTTTGGTTAAGCCAGGATAAATTATCTGGGTTTACATGTTTCGGGTTTGTTGTCTTTTTATTTTTCTTGATAGTCTAATAAAACCTTTCACAAATCTTTTCTGGCCTGCTGTAGATGAAAAATGCTAATCCATCAGGGGAGTGGCCAAATTTCATTAGCTGCTAGCACAAAAGCCAGCCGAGCACTGTGTCCTCACCAAGCTCAGCCTACCATAGCTGTACACCAAAGCAGCATCCATGGCCTCTGGCTTTCTCATAGGCCCTGGGGCTGAACCTAGCCTATGGGCAGGATGCTGCATGGGCAGAGTCTCTCCAGCTGCCATCCTCAAAGCTCTCCCTCACCAAGCTCCTGTCAGAGGCGAGAGCCTGGGGTTGCATGCCAGCTTGCAATTCAGACTTACAGACACTGAGCTGCAGGCCCACAGCATGTTTTCTCCCCACCATCCACTGCCAGCTCCTCAGCACAACAGCTTTCAGTGAGTCCCATGCTGGGTGCTGGTACCTGCCTCTCCCAGCTGGGATCACTCCCTGCTTGACACGCAGGCATCCTCAGCTGGGTGCCCCAAAGGCAGCAGCTGCCACAGCCTTGATGCTTTCCTGCCCACAGAGAGCAGCTCGGGGAGCTTGGCTGGGCTCTGCAGGGAAGCTCTGCTGGCTGCCTCAGTGCTTGCTTTCCCTCTAATACTCGGAGAAGAAGACTTGGGTTGACAGCTGGGCCCTCCGGATGGTGCAGACATCAGTGCTACCCTGCACCTGGCCAGCTGTTGCTGCACAAATAGAATTCCTCTTTCCCCTGCCAGGATCTTCTGCAAGACTTAGTTCTATTCGGGGATAATGACAGGCTCCAGCACATGTACCAGACAGCTGGAAAATGAGCATTGTGCTGAGTCCTGGAAGTCAGAGTGACCTGAACTCGTACAGCCTTCAAATCGCATGGCGAGGCTCATCTATTTTGTTACTTCTTCTCATACTGGGGTACAAATAATCCATATGCTGGATAGCCGTACTTCTAGTGACAATAAGACTTCCATAGGGTCCATGCTAATAATAGGGTCCATAGAAATAATGTTTTCACTGGTAACTTCAAGGTAACTAGGGGAAGAGTGGGGAGGTGCACTAAGAGCAAATAGGGTTTTTGCCACAGATTCCCTGAAGGACTGAAACAGCTGTGAACTGAAAAAGCAGTGCCAATGCCCGATATTCCTGTGTCGATTTCCTCAAGGTGAAAGCACTGCTACAAGTAGAACAGAACTTCAATGACAGCAAGCTACCAATGTCAGCACCTGAGTGTTTGGTTTTGTTGTCATTCTGGGTTAAGCAGCACCCAAGTATCTACCAAATAAGTGAGGCTTAGCAGTATCACTAGCTATGGTGTATGTACTTACATTATATGAGGGATAAATATCCACAGTGGTATGAGCACAGAAGGGGAAGGCAGCGGTGATCTCAGTACGAGACATTATGAACACATCAAGCCCAGTTGCAAGTTGTCACCTCCAAGCAAGTCTGCTCATCGTCGCATGGGTGCTGATGGAGAAACAGAGAGGCATCTGGTAACACTGCTCCTTCTTTCAGGGGCCTTCCTCATTCCCTATTTCCTGACGCTAGTGTTTGCTGGGATCCCGCTCTTCCTGCTGGAAACTGCTCTTGGCCAGTACACCTCTGTGGGAGGACTGGGAGTCTGGAAATTAGCACCCATGTTTAAAGGTACTGTGCTGTAAGTTGGTAAAGGTGGTGATGTGCCTACAAAGATCTTCCAATGGTTTGGGAAGCAAAGCCCTGGGGACTGTGGTGGGGAGCAACTCAGGGACATTTTTTCCCTGTCCTTGACCCTTAAAATCTGGGGAAGTAATCAAATCCTGTTTATAAGGGGCAATCTAGCATACTGAAATTTTCACCTGGTGGATGTGGCTCTGGGCAGCCTGATCTGGTGGTTGGCAACCCTGCACATAGCAGGGGGGTTGAAACTAGATGATCATTGTGGTCCTTTTCAACCCAGGCCATTCTGTGATTCTATGATTGTATGATTCTATTAAATGGGTGGATGAGAAGCTCTCTTGAGAGCACAGTGTATCTGTGCTGTGTGCCACATGGGTAAATCACCTTGTTTTTTTCTGGCTCTGCCACAGAGCTTTCTGTGATGCCCAGGAGCTCACTTGAGCACAGAGACCTGGATTGATGCTGCTCTTTGTCTTCTTTTGCAGGAGTGGGGCTGGCAGCTGTGGTTCTCTCCTTCTGGCTGAACATCTATTATATTGTCATCATTGCCTGGTCTCTCTACTATCTCTTCAACTCTTTCACTTCAGTGAGTCACAGACTTCTATGACATGGCATTAGCTGTACAGTCCTTACTCCCTGCTTCCTGGGGAACAGTTTCTCACCCTATGAAGATGCATCTTAGGATGTGGCTTTGGTTTGTTCAGATGTCACAGACCTGGCTGGTCACAGTGCTGGTGTCTCCACAGGCAGCTTCAGGTGTTGGCTCACAGAAAGCGAGCCTTTCCTTTCTCCAGACACCTTTGCTTTCTCCAGAAAGCTCCTGGAAGGTGCCAGTCACAGAGCTTGGCTGACATCTGTTCCTTGCCCCTCCTAAATCTGAGTAGGGGTATTTTGAACCTGAACAGGGAACCCAGCTTGCCTGCTGCTGCTTCTGTCCTCTGAGATCCAGAGGAAATAGAGCAGCAACAAAACGTCCCCATGCCCTCCCCTCCTAGAAGAGCTGTGCTGCATCTCTGACGTGCAGGGTACTTGGTTGAAGGGCTGCTCTGCAGCTCTGCTTGAGCCTCTGCATTTCCTTCACAGCAAAATCACAGGATGGATGCAAATAGCTTGGGGGGGTGTGTGTGCGGGGGGGAACTGGGGTGTTCCTATCTGTCCCTCCACAGCCGTTGTGCAGAACCAGTGTGCTCCTTGCAGGCTCTGATGCCACAAAGCACTTAAAACACAGAAAATATCTTTAAAAGAGGCTGTATTCTTGTATGGTCAAGAAAGGATGCAAACATTCTCAAAGACTTAGTCAAGCTGGAGCCCAAGGCTTTATCTACAAAGGGAAATCATCCAGAATAGCCCTTCTGCATCCATCTACATGTCTTGGTCATGCCTTCTCTGTGCTCAGGAAACAAGACTGCTGCGTGCAGGGATGTATCTGAGCTGCTTATGCATGGCATGATGGGGCACGGGTGAGCTGCCTGTGTGCTCATACAGCCCATGATGCTGCAGCTTCATTGCTTGCAGCTCCAGAGCTGACCGTGTTCAATCTGCAGCAACGCACTACTACCGTGCTGTTAGCCACTGCATCAAAATATCCAGGAACTCCTCTGTAATGCTTAAAATCGGGGGAGGAGATGACGTGAAATAGCTACTGTGCTTCATATTTACTCGCAAGCTTATGTTACAATAATTTGTTCATATAGACAGACTTTTAGCCTCCAATTTGCAATGCTACATTGCTTTTCATATGTTGGGGCTCGGTATGAATGGGAGATAAGGAATGAATCAGTGTTTGTTCTTTGTGTAGAAAACTCCAACCACTTGTTTTGTGAAACTAGCCAAAAGCCATATTGATTCTAAACACAATATCCTTTGGTAGCTATTTTAATTAGTAGCTATTAATTACCAACAGTTAATTGGAAATAGCTTACTATCCGGGGAATTGCTACATTTTATTAGAGCTATGACATTGCCCTAATCATGTTCTTGATATAATTTCCTGGAAAAGTCTGCTTCACACTTAACTATTATTTTGGAAAACTGTTTAATGCCTTTTGCTGCAAAGCTTCTGCCCATCCAGATGAGCTGCTCACCCCCTTTGCAAAAACAACCTGTGTCTGTAGTTTAAAGAAAGACAGGTTTCACTCCTTGCTGGAGATGCTAACAACAGCTGTGCCCCCAGGACCTGCCATGGCAGAGCTGCGGGAATGCCTGGAACACCGACCGCTGCTTCTCCAACTACTCCCTGGATGACACCACCAACCTCACCAGCGCCGTCACCGAGTTCTGGGAGTACGTCACAGCCTGCCTACACCAGGTTTCTCCCCACTGCAACCATCCTACCTGTCTGCCAGGGCTGCTGCCCTCCCTGTCAACTCCAGACCTTGGAGAACTGGCTGCTAACTGGGGCAGGCACAGGATGGGGAGCACTGTGCGGTTGCATGTCAGATGAATGGAGAGTAATGGCCTCACTGCATCTATCCTTCTTCTCTTAGCCCCTCACCATGTGCCGCAGGTCCCTCTAGGTCTTGTGGGCTCTCATGCATGTCTGCATCTGGCCCTTCGCTCTCCAGGCACCACTGAGATCTCCAATCACCACACCCCTAGGGGTCAGACTTTCCCTTAACACAGCCTCTCCCACCCTAGGAGAAACATGCACCAGATGTCCGGCGGCTTGGGGGAGCCTGGATCCATCCGCTGGCCTCTGGCTGGCACACTGGCCCTGGCCTGGCTGCTGGTTTACTTCTCCATCTGGAAGGGTGTGGAGTGGACAGGCAAGGTATGGTGTGAGGAATGGGTTGTTCGGTGCTGTCAAAATGTCCTCCAGATTCACTTTAGTCTGAGTGTCTGTAACTAATGTTACGGTGCTTCAAGGCTGAATTGCAGTAGATGCTATTAAATTCTTGACATTTACCTTGCACGGCTGTAAAAATTGCTATGTTCATGGTAACTTTCAATCTAAGTGTAGAGAATAATTCTTCCCCACAAAGTCGCAGGTAAACGTTCTCAGTCTCTCTGAAGATTTGGGAAAGAGATTTTCAGAGATGACTACTGTTAACCCGCATCAGGACAGTTCTCCAAGATGATGAGGTCTATTCTAGGTTCCACCCTACAATAATAGCGTCTCTTGAAATGCTGTGAACTGAAAAGCACTCACCATCTCTTTAGAAAATCTTTCTGCTGCCGTTTAGGTATTGGTGAGATACCTATGGATCAGAAGTATACGATTATTCACTGTGTAGCATTTCAGACCAGGACAGTTGAGAGGTAATTGCTTAGTTTATTGAAATGGGAATGCTGAGATACTGAGGTGTGTTATTTAGAGCACAGCATGATGTTAGAGGGACAGTATTATGAAAGGGATAATCTACAGTGAAGATCAGAAAGAAGCACTTCAGAGGGAGGTCACCTCAACCGCTGACCCCTAGGGGTTCTCAGATGGGGTTTTGCTACACAGTCACAGCAAAGGCCCAGTGACTGCCATTACCTGTTGAGTGATGGCATATGCTTGCAATTCTCTGAAGAGTTGGAGTCAAGAGAGCTAATGTTTCTTGATGCATTGGACTAGTGGAATGCTGGCTTTAGCTCTGCAAAATAAGGATGCGATGATTTAAAGGGATTACTTCTGTGGACTAAATTTATCCTTCTGCAATCCTCTTGTCTTTGGGCAATCCATCTAGAATTTTGCCTGCTACTTTTGCGATTAGTGCATCCTTGCTTGTCTTTGGCACAGAGAAACAGCCAGAAATGTTACTTGCCTAGGAGTGTGAGGTGGAAAATACAAGGAGGATATCAATCAATTTCTTCTCTCTGGGGGCTGTGCAGGCTGCTCTCTCCGTGATTACAGGCTCAGCCTTGAACAGCAGTGCTTGGGGACCTTATACCCCTCAAAGGTGGTGGGGGATACACAGTGATGCAGTGCCACCATGGACAGGAATTACTGACAGTATCTATCCCATGGTATCTCCTGTAGGTGGTGTATTTCTCAGCCACCTACCCCTACTTCATGCTGTTCATCCTCTTCTTCCGGGGAGTCACTCTGCCCGGGGCCAAGGAGGGCATCCTCTTCTACCTCACACCTGACTTCAGGAAGCTCTCCGACTCTGAGGTTGGTTGCCTGGCTGTAAATGTCTTGCTGGTAGTTCTAATGCCCAGCTATCTTCATATCAGTGTTTCCTTCAATATTTTAAGAGAGAACTAAAACTGAAAAGGAATATCTCCCTACTTGGGTAGTCATTACCTTCACAGTTTGAGACAAAATTCAGGTTGTTAATGGGTGGAATGCCATGCAGCATCTCTGTTGTAATCAGGTGATATTGTCCATGAGGGATGAGAAATTACCCCAGCAAAGGAACCTCCCCTCTGGGTTGGGAATGCCTCATTGGGGGTTGGACTCGATGATCTCTGGAGATCCCTTCCAACCCCTACAATTCTGTGATTCTGTGATTCTGTGATTTCCTGACTGGCCCAGTGCTGGATAGCCTGCAGCCCACACTAACCCTGTGTAGCAGGTCATCAGTCTCTGCAGGGAAAGAGAGATGGACCAGAGACTGGGTAACGGCGAGCAGAGTCCACCAAGTTGACTGCATGGTAGAGGACAGACACAAAGCTTGTTCCCTTTCTGCAGGTCTGGATGGATGCAGCCACACAGATCTTCTTCTCCTATGGCCTGGGGCTGGGGTCCCTGATTGCACTGGGGAGCTACAACACTTTTCACAACAACGTCTACAGGTCTGTTGGGTTTTCCTGGCTCTGTTGGGTTTTCCTGGCTCTGTTGAGTTTTGGTGGTGGAAGCAGCAGAGAATCACGCATTGTGACCATCGTCAAATGGCCAGCAGAGCCCCCCTCTGCTACTGCTCTGAGTGCTTGCAGGGATAGAGGCATCACAGCAAGTCTGGGTGCCTGGCCTCTGCTGTCTCCCTCTGTCACTAAGCAACTAAGGGGCACACTGCCTCCTCCCTAGTGGGGAAGGCTTAGTCTTCTCTTTGCCCACCCTTTGTTCCTCGTCTATTTGGTAGGGACCTGAAAATGGCTTCTTTTCTTCCTTTCTCTTTTCCAGAGACTCCATTATTGTTTGCTGTATAAACTCCACCACGAGCGTATTTGCTGGATTTGTTATTTTCTCTATCGTGGGCTTCATGTCGCACATCACGAAGAAGTCAATTTCAGAACTGGCCTCCTCAGGTGAGCAAACGTGGCAGCAGTGCCAATAATACCCGGAATATCTTTTCCTTCCCTGACCCCCCAACATCACCTCTTAAGGTTTGTATCTCTCTGCATTGTTATTCAGGAGTTGTTCTTTAGTTAAAATGCAGGACTCAGATCTTAGTATTTTCCTGGGAAACCTTTATATGTTGTGCATGTGTAAAGGGCCAGATTCTCTGTCACTGGTATAATGATAGTTTGTGTATTGGTGTAGCCAATACCACTTCACACACTTGAAGATCCACCATGGGAAGTTTCCACAAGTCACCCAAAATAGCAAACCCAGGTACAAATGCAACAGCAGCATTTTTAGAGAAATTTGTCCATGTGTGTGGGATGCTCCCAGGTCTTTCTTCTCCATGACCAAGCACACAGCCATCTTTGTATGTTTTCTGCCCAAGACCAGTCTGAATCACCAGACATTCACTGCACACCAATTCCTGCTGCAGGGAGCATTCCTGACTCCTTTTAATGTCCACCTGCTTTCAGTGGTGAGGTTTTGTGAGCTTTGGCAGTGGAATATTTTGTCTGTTTGCTTTCTGAAACCTTTCTTGGAGAACATTTGCCTCCTCACATACTGCCTACGTTCTCAGTAGATGTGATCAAAGCTTGGTGTCCTTTTTCCATGCAAGATTTTGAAATCGTGATCTCTGAATAATTTTTTAAAAATGTAGATGAGACTGTGTCTTTTTGCCCAAAGATGTATTTTGAAATTGCTGTCTTTCCAGAAAAACCTTTTATCTCAAGTAACAGCATTATGTGACGGGGGGAAAAAAAAGACACCAGCTTCAAATTTCATTTTTTTTTTTCTAGCAAAGTGCTCCAGTTCCATTTGGTAGCAGTGATTTGATGACTGTCGCTGGCAGGAGGAGAAAAGGCAAAGCATCTCCCCAGTCATTGCTGCCTCCCATCCCACCCCTGTGCACCCAACGTGGTTGGTGTGTCATGGGTAACATCTCTTGTAGTAACTTCCCGCAGTTTCTGCCTGTCATCACTGTTTCTCTTCACTGTTGCTCATCACTATGACTTTCCATCAAACACTTTATAAATGTGAACTCATCTCTCATTTCACTTCTGCAGGCCCTGGACTGGCTTTCCTCGCCTATCCGCAGGTTGTCACCCAACTGCCCCTGTCCCCACTCTGGTCGATCCTCTTCTTCTCTATGCTGATGATGCTGGGCCTGGATAGTCAGGTGAGGCAGCCCAGAGACAAAAAGGGGTAAAATACAAAGATATTTTTGGACCTCATGGTGGTTTTCCCTTCTGCACCTTGAGTCAGTGTTTTTTCACAGATTCTTTCACATGAAAAAAACTCTCTTTTGTGGTCATCACCCCTGCACTCTTCTCATATGCTGCAAGTGGGGTGGTATCGGAGCACCTTCACCAACCTGGATTTCCTGTGAGGCACAGTAAGAGAATGCCATTACTTTGGCTTACTGTTGCAGGTTGGAGTAGAAAGTCCCCAGCACATACCAGTCTCCCACTAGACCATATCTCTCTGCCATGGCATTGGCAGGTTGCACTGAGAAAAGCAGCGATGCAGCATCTGAAGCAGTGGGAATAGTGGTTTGGTGCAGTGTTTTGGCACTGTTTTTAATAACTAGCATAGTCCTGAGCAGAGGTGAAGTGCTCTGCTGCTTGAGCTCCCAGGCTGGCTTCGTAACGAGCAGGTAGAAAGAAGCCATGCCTTGGGAAAATATTGCAAAACAAAATAGTATGGGCTCTGTATTTTTTTTTAACAAGTAATGACACGTTTTTAATCTGATAATTTCGTATAAATGTAGCTATCTGGTGAGGCAGTCCCTCTGGAGGAGAGGGTGCAACAGAAGCCTTCAAAAGTGTGTGCCTGCCTGGGTCTGTCACATCCTTCCCTGTAACAGCATGGTCTTTCCATGCTGTGCTAAGCCTTAGAACAAAATGGACTCTCTCCTGGGTTACACATAGCCTTCATAAAACCAAATCTAATTCCTGATCAGACTCCCTGACCTGTCATACTTTGTTTCCACGAAAAATACAATCAACCATACCTGCTTTTCAGTTACAGCACGCTCCCACAAAAACACATCCTGGAGCTCTCAGCTGCATTAGCACAGACATTATTTGGCAAATAATTTCAAATAATGACTAAACGTTTCGAAAGAAGCTCCATTTACAGAAGAAAAAACAAAACCAAAAACCACCGCTCTCCATGGATTATTCACTCAGCTCCAGTAAATAGTTTCAGACATGACAATAAGCCCTCAAAGCACTGTGTGGAATTTATTTGCTGCATTTGCTTCTCAAATACCACTTGAAATTCTCCAGGTCCCTCCACCAGCCGGTCTTGGAGGGCGGGCCGTCTGTGGGGGGCTATCACTGCCTGGAGGAGGAGTGGGGAAAGGAGGCACCAAATGGAAAACAAGTTTTTAAAGAAGGGCAGATAAATAGATGGGAAGGAGCTTTCTGCATGCATGGTGGCACTCTGAGTCAATCACACGATTTACAGAACGGCAGCTTAGCCGTATAAAACAACACAGGCTGCAATTACACATGCATTTTGAAGTATCCATTTCAAAAATGGCAGTTTTGATATGTGCTTGTTTTAAATAGTGTTTGTGGTACTTGCAGATGAGGAGCAGCTGCTTTCATTAGGGCACAGCAGGGACCCTCACCACCCTCCAGGCATGGGGCCAGAGGGGTATGGGAGCCTGGCCAGCAAGGGAAGGTCAGGCTGAGGTCTGTGTGATGCAGCGATGAGACCCATCCCCTCAGCAGTGCTGCAAGGTGGTTCACTTGTGTCTTTGAGGCTCAGCAAAGAGCTCAGCAGTGCAGCTCCATCTGCCTCTCTGCCATCATGCTCATCTCCTCCACAGTGCCTTGAATGCAAGCAGTGACCTACATTGATGTGTGCACCTCCCTCCTATGCCCCCACTTGCTGCTTGTGGTCCTTAATGTTTGCTCTGCCTCTGATCCACTCCGGCTTTAGCTCTCTTGCGTCTAGACCCTCTTGCATAACATGCTAATGCTTTCTTTTAACCTACCAGTTTCCAGGTCAGGCGTTTTACTCCCCAAGGGAGCTGACAAGCCTTGTGACTGCAAGCCTGCATCTGCCCTTTGCGAGACCTGCCTCTTGCAGGTTATTCATGAGGATTTATGGCTGAGAATAGTAAAACCCATGCTGCACATCTGGCAGCTGTGGTTAACCTTCTCACAGGTCCTGGTCCCAGTCCCGGTCCTGCTCAGGCCACAATTCTCCTTCTGGTTATTGCTGAAGAGGAATAGCACATCCTCAGCACTGTGAGGATGGGGGAGAGACTGCCAAGTCCAGGTCATTCAACCCAGCAGCTCGTGATGGTGATCATGCACCAAAATGGGAAAAAAGAGAGAAGTGACTGGAAATAAAACCTGTAGGTGAAAAATGTTATCGTGGCCCCAAAATCAGCAGACTCTCCTCACTCTTGAAAGCAGCACGCTTTCCCCCAGCTGCCTGCTTATCCTGGGGATAAGGTTAGGTATGTGGGCTGGGAAAGTAAGACCCTAGGCCACACATGGGCCTGCAGTCCCAAGGCTGTAAGTAGAGTCCCTCCAGCTCCTGTAGCTCCCTGCAGTCTGAGGCTGACAGAAGGTCATTTCCAATGAATTGTAAGAAGTTCTGTTTTAGGGCTTGAAAAACCAGCATGGCACTGCTTGGTTCCCCATTTTACCTATTACATGCTGGAATCCCCTCATGCCCACTCTCTCCCTCAGTCCCTCCCAGCCCTCGTCCCTCCCTGCCTTGCCCAGTGCCAGGTTCTGGCCATGCATCCATGCGGAAGGAATAGCTTTCGACAGGGTTGGTTTCGTCATGCTGATGCTTCACACTGTGGTGCCAGCTCTGTCCTGACTCTTGTAGACAGTGAGCAGGTGGGATAGGGTGAAGAGCTCGCTGACAATGAGTATACAGACAGATTAACCCATGCTCTAATGGCAAGGGATGCTTTAATGGACATTTAAAGGGATGCTTTATGTTGGACACAAGTCCTACATAAAAGTCTGAGCTCATTACAAATTCCAAACAAAGCAATTGAGCTTGGGCTCTCTGGGATGCAGCTTTCCGTACTGCAGCATGTGGAGATAAAACCCCAGGCAGGAATATTGCTCTTTGCCTCTCTCTGTGTCCCAGAAGCCAATGGGATGTCAGCTCCTCTACTATCCCTGCACAGCAGTAGGAGTTACTCAGATGTCTGGCTTTGCTTCCATAGATTTTTCCAGTGTTCTGCTGCTCTTTTTGTCTGTGTATTTCTACCTCCATCTCTATTGATTGCTTTTTTTCTTGTCTCAAATCTGAACCTAAAAATGCCCCCACTTTCTACAGCACTCTCCTGGGGGACAGAGAAGTCTCTGATATCCATCTGTCACTGCCACTGCACTGGTTTGTATGTTCACTGAGGGTGACCGGGGAAACCAGGAGCTTGCTGCCCTCATCAACTTCCCAGTGGTTTTGCAATGGGCAAGATGTGCTCTCTGAGAGCTGTATGTTACCTGTGGTTCCTAGGAGCAAGACCTGAAAGTGAATCTCATAATTTAAGAGGAAATAGGAGAGAAGGATGTGCTTCACACATACACAACTTGCTATAGGGCAGATCATGGTACAGACAGCATTAACTCACTGTGTCTAGTACAGCACAGCTCTAGAACAACCACATGCTGTGAGGATGGTCTTTGAATGTACTACATGCATTTTAATGCAGCGCGTGAAAAAAGGGAAATAAACTCAAGGAACAGGTAGTCAGAGATGTTGTTGTTAATACTTGCATGTGGGACTGGACAGTGGGTGATACAGCAACATGATGAGTGCTTTAGATCACTAAACAGCACAAGCATTGCTGCAATATGCTGAGAAGAGCACACCAGGGAAAAGACGAGCATATGTGCCAGCAGCAGAGCTGTTGCTGTGATGGAAAGGCTGGCAGAGCTGTGGAGCAGGACAGCAGTGGGGTGGCCCTCGAGAGTTTGAGGGGAGGCAAAGGTGGAGATGCATCTCAGCTAATTTTAGGCATCTAAGCTCAGTGTTTTTAATTCCCTGTATAATCAGTGAAGAGAGAGAGGTACTTTCAGGACGTGATTCAGGGCAGCTCTGTGCAGAGCCTTCTTTTCTACTGTCTGCAGATGACACTTAAAGTAATGAGGCTGTCAACACTGGGGTTAAATGTAGGTAGGGGTGATGTCAGGCTAAGATACTTACAAATGTTTCCTTGGTGTTGTCTTTTGCTGCAGTTCTGCACCGTGGAGGGGTTCGTTACCGCCCTGATGGATGAATATCCTCATATCCTAAGAGCCAGGAAGAAGATCTTCATAGCAATAGTCTGTTTCATCTCTTATCTCGTTGGATTCTCCAATATCACCCAGGTACAGACAGCCATGCTTGTACGTCCATTCCTGGCACCTGCCCAGTCACCCACGGATTTCACAGGAGCACCAAAAGCTTTAGGAGAAGTGACAGCATCTGTAGGAGCCATCCCAATTCTGGACATATGGGCTTATCATTGCTGTCACATCTCAAGTGATGCCTCCATAATTGCTGCGGCCATCCTGTAGTCAGCCTAGTGTGTTCTCTTGCTATTTGCAATAAGGGCTCAGGCCAGCAAAGCCCATCCTGAAGGAACACTTGGTGCAGAGGGTTAAGATAACATAAAGACCAGTCTCTTGGAGCCCTGAAACCTCTGGGGCTGAAGCCAAGGTTTATGTATGTGAATATAGGACTGAGTAGTCTGTAGATTTGTGAGGTGCAAAGCAACAAAACTCCTGGGAGGGGCAGAGTGAACTAATTAGGTGACTCCAACTAAAACAGGGATAAGTAAGAAAGCCTCACGAATCCCCATTTTTTCTACGTGCCGTTGGCCATACCTGAACAAGCTGGCTAATTGCCTTCAAGAGCACACCAGTTTTTCTGCTGGGAACCTGATTCCAGTGGAAACATTTCAGCGCCTACTCTCCTGTCTGGAGAAATTAACATTAAAGCCAGCAGATGTAGTTAGTAGCAATTGAAGCAGCTGGCTGATATTGTCAAACATAATCCATAACTAAACTCCTTGACCCTGGCTTTGTCTCCTCAGGGTGGCATTTATGTTTTCAAGCTGTTTGATTACTACTCAGCCAGTGGCATGTGTCTTCTCTTTCTTGTCTTCTTTGAGACCATCTCAATTTCTTGGTGTTATGGTAAGCAAAAAAAGACCTTGTTTCTTTCTTGTCTCTACGGGCAAAGGGTGATTTTTTTCAAAAGCATCCAACAGTGAAGGCAATAAAAGATTTGTAACTGAAAATAGTTGAGGCTGATAATGCCAGAAAATCAGGAGCAGGAGGCTATCATCTCTCTTCCACAGACCACCACAAAGACCTGTGCACTAACTGGCAGATGCCTATGGTCCTGCCTTCAGCTCCTCCTAAGACACCTGCAGTGTGCAAGATGACCCTGTGTTTGTGTCCCCATCCTTGGGCCCCTCAGATAATGGCTCTTACACCACAGCGTTGTCACCTTCTTGCTGTGGCTGACCTTTGCTCTCTCATGAGAAGAGATGGAGCCTATGGGGCACAGAGATGGGATGCTTTTCTCAACAGCCTTTTCTTTTAGGTGTGAACAGATTTTACAGAAACATCGAAGAAATGATCGGCTACAAACCTTGCATCTGGTGGAAAATCTGTTGGGCATTTTTCACTCCTCTTGTCTGCCTGGTAAGAACAGAAGGGTCATATCTGCAGGAGTGAATCCAGAAGGGCCTCTTAGTTTGGAAGGGCTGTAGGGGATACACTACATTTTAATTCCACTAACGGTCTGTCCATAACTGCAAGGTACCTGGGATAGGCAAAGTACAGCCGGAAATAGCGAGTAAGAAAGTCTTCAGAGTTAATTACTTAATCTAAAAGATGCTCTCAGTTCTTCTATCTGAGACGTCAAGAGACAAGCAAATAATTTACTGTATTTAAAAGCTGTTATTGGTAGAAGAGAAGGTTCTCAGCCACTGCGTCTCCTGCACTGGTGCCTAATAGGCTTGTCAGAGCAAAAGACGCCAGCAAATACAGTACAGCTGATGGTGGAGCAATTTTGCTTTTGCTGGTTCTCACATTTCCAGCAGTGGTAGAACAAAGAATGGTGTGAGAAGACCAATGATAGGAAGTTAAGGGCTCCTGAGGCCAGCTGTAAAGATGCTGTCAACTTGGTTAGGAACTGCTTGCAAGGGCACTGCTTATCTGAGCGGTCTGGTGAAGAAGGAAATCAGGGTTATTCTAGTTCTAGCTTTCAGCATAGGGTAGTCAGGGGGGAAATGATACAAAATTAAGAGATGAGGGGCTGAAAGCTTCTATAATAATTTAAGGAGCTGTTGGATTGCCGTAAGACTGTTTGGCACTAAGAGAGTGATGAAGGGAGAAATTAATGGATGTTTCTCTGATCTTGCACACCCTCACTTGCAATGGCTGGTGTTCTTTTCCCAGGGTGTGTTCTTATTCAGTGTGGTGGAAATGACCCCTCTGACGTTGGGCAAATACATCTATCCTGCATGGGGACAAGGTATTGGTTGGCTCATGGCGCTGTCCTCCATGGTACTGATCCCAGGATACATGCTGTACAGCTTCTTCACCTCAACAGGGACTCTCCGGCAGGTATGTATGACTTTGCCACTCCTCTTCTGTGAAGAAGAAATCCTTAAGATTTTGTAACACAGAGAAATCCCATTCCCAGCGGTCCCTGGCTGTGAGCAGTTACCTGGCACTTTTCAGCAGAGACATCAGCATCCTCCAAGCATGAAGCTTGAGATAACTCAGGGCTCAGACCTGCTAGTGATGGAGACAGCTTTGCAAACAGCAGTCAGCGTATGAGGGGGATAAGAAGCAAGGCGGAAATCTGTACAGAGCCCAAAATACCTGCATTTCTTTGATCTTGCTTAAAATATATTTTTTTAATTCTTGATTTGAGCGAGGTTATATGCAGCAGTGAATCACGAATCTCTGTATGTCATACATGGTAATTGCTGTTGAGATCTTATTTACAGTGTTGACGTTCAATCTTGAGAGCGCTGTGCATAAAGTCCCCGTCTCGATGCTGTCTGCTGTGAGCTACAGGTGCGAGCAGTCACTGCAGGGGTGCTGCTGATTTATGACTTTCCCAGCCTGCCTTCAACAGCCAGCTGGGGCCATCTAAACCCCGCCAGTTTAGTTCGTGGATGTCATATTTTGAGTAATGTTTAAGTCCAAATGCTTTGGCTAGAGCTGCTGGGTTGAGATCAGCTTCAGGCCCTCTGCTTCTGAGGTCAGGTTGCAGGTGGATTTGACTTTCCTTCCTCCCAGCTCTCTATTTAGATGAGATCTGCTACAGGATCTGCCTGGGTCTGATGTCTCAGATGAGCTTTCAGTTTCTGGTCTCTCATTTGAGTTCACGTTCTGATTCTTACTGTTTGTATTGGGAGCAGCTTTGAGGTTCTGCAGCACTCAGACCTATGTAATGCCAAGCCAATAGGATGATGCTGGGTTGAGGGCCAGCTGTGGTTCCACTAGGAAAGTCTTACTCAGATTTCTAGAGGGCTTCTTAACCCCTCATAATAGGAGCTGGAAAAGGGGGAAAAGGGAATTCTGGCAAACAGATATGTTTTCAATCCTGTTCCCATTAGGGATGTGACAACACATCTTGGCATCTGGGGGAGCCAAGCCAGCCTGTGGCTCTCCTGGAGTAGCTGCACTGCTGGCTGAGGGCTTCTGCTCCTGGTGCTCATAGATCCAAAGAGAAGCAGCAGATGGCAGCAGGAGGGAGGCAGGTTTTTGTGTGTGTGTGCGTGTTCCAGAGAGATGGAGAGAATTTTTGGCCTCTTATATGCACAGATCCTGGATTAGTTTGTAATAGAGCTGAAGCTGGAGGGAAATTAGATGCCAATGCTGAATAAAGTGATTTTGACAGACAGGGAAGATTACAAGTCATTTTGATCCTACTGAGCATGAATGTGAGGGGAAAAGAAAAGACCATGAATGGCAGAAGCAGCTCAGTGATCGTTTCAGGGAATTCACCCAGCAACAGCCACTTCAGCTGAGCTGGAGAGTTGGAGCTTGTTTCCCTTTGCTGCAAAGAGCTTCTTCCTGGCTTAGTGATGCCTATTCAGGTCGGGCTCTATTTTCCTCTGCCTTCTCTTTTGCAGCACCAGTCCCACTCTGGCAGACAAAGTGACTCATAAGCATTCATCACTCCCGATGCTCAGTCTGCATGCTTCCAGTAATGACTTGCCCCTCTGTATCTTCCTGGGTTCTGGCTTCATTTTATTGCTCTTTACAGTTTTCATTTGATCAGTTTATGGCGGTGGGAATCACTGCTGGTGCAAAGGTTTGTGCAGCTGGACAGGTCTGATCCACATTAGAGTCACAGACCGTGACCTGTCAGCATGCTGCAGTTGGTTAATGACATTTCACAGGAAACCCTAGCTGCAAAAACGGGGAAGCTTGGAAAATGGCTTTGCTCTGAAGTCTGTGCCATTACAGCTCTCCCTTGCTCCCATTAGCAGCAGGCACTGCCTGGTGGCTGTTTCCCCATGTTATAAAGGTGATCCCTGCACTTCAAGTAGAAGTGCTCTGCACAGAACCAAAGCAGGGGGCTCACATGGCCTGGCAACAGAGATAGATAGAGTGGTGCTGCAAGGGCATCCCCTGCCACGTTACCATCCCCTCACGCTGGCAATAGGGCCACCCCAAGGTTGGGGGCTGGGGATCCCAGTCTTCAGCTGACACCCTGTCTCCCCTTGTTCCCGAGCAGCGTTTCCAGCAGATGACGCAGCCCCAGCCAGATGTGCAGGTGCAGAAGAATGGCCTGCAGCCGAAGACGTCTCTGAATGGCAGGGGATCAGAAGCTGCCGTCTAGGAGGAGAGCCGGAGCTCCTCGCCCTGCCCCATAGCTGCCCACACCATGCCATCCCTCCAGTCCCTCTGGCACAGCCCGCTGCCCCCGGCTCTGCAATGGCTTTGCATGAGAGGACCCAGCAGAGGAACTCCAGCACCTCTGTTCCCTCAGCAGACCCCGTGTCACATCACTGACTGTCTCCATCATGCAACACTCTGGCCCAGGCTCTCAGAGAGGAGCAGCCTGTAGCCTCTCGACCAGAGGTGGTATTTCTAGAGAGCTTAATGCTGACGGTTCACTGTTTCTCCCTTCATTTTGCATTTCCATGTGATCCTACACAGCATGCCCCATAGTACGCAGCCTTGCTTCACCCCAGAGAGCCACGTGCCACCAGGTTCAAATCTCAGATGGTGATCAAATGATGTAGCATAAAACAGTGCTAGCAAATGCAACTCTGGATGGGATGTGGCAGATCAAGCAATTCCAGTGAGGAGCCCTGCATGTTGGTAGCAATAGGACATAGCTCAAACTGAAGAAAGGCATCAGGAGAGGATGCAATACTCTTAGGTACCATGTTTCAGCCCTGCACATCTCCAACCATTACCACCCACCCAGCAGGTTGGCCCATGAGCCACAGTCAGGTGCAGAAGACAGCCCCTCTCTTCTGGAGAGCCTTGCCCTTTGCAGCTCTGTGCAGCAGCCACACCTTGACCTGAAGATCTGAATGTACAGGCTGGATCTTGTAAAGCTGAAAGGCAAACACTGAGAGCTGCAATCACAGTTCATCACAATTAATCTCAGCTAGTTACAGAAGTATCATTCTTCCTTATCCTGTAATTTTATGCACTATAGTGTATCTGAAAATTTGTATTCCACTTTCACCCATGTTTATAAACTGGGCAATAAAGGAGCCCACTCATATCCTTTGAGAGGACATCTCTGCTGAGGGCACTTCATAGAATCATAGAATCATTGCTGTTCGTCTTTGGTCTTTGCATGAATGACCTTTACTACAAATCCTGCTTTCACCTGTGATTCCCAGTCACATCACCTCCCTCCCCTTAAAGGCCAAGAACTTCAGAAGTGGGTAATGGGCAAAAAAGTCAGTGCTTGAATGAGGCCCGAAAACTGTGAAAGATCTTCATTTTCTAAGGGTATTGGGGCAACCCCAGCCTCAGGTAGAGGAAGCTGGAGTCAGCAGTCCTTTTGGAAACTCTTGGCCAAGAGCTCCCTTGCACATGGCAGGGCTTCACTCCTGGGGCAGCAACGGTGTTACCCTACGCTGGTTTTCTCAGGGTAACAATATTCAGTGAGAAATAGCCATCCACTCAGCTTCCTCCCCATCATTTTCTCTTTGTCTCTTTCTTTTGTCATTGTCTCTTTGTCCCCTTTCATTCTCTTGCCACGTTTCTTCCCAACTCCCATCCACCCAGTGGAAATGAACTACTTCAATGAGCTTTGTCCTCCTTTTTTGCTGGTACTACCACAAATTGCAGCTCTCCCTTCTCTTCCTTCTATTTCTATCTGTGTTTCCAGCCTAATTTCTCTCCTTCTCTCACATCTCCTCCTACCACCCTTGTCACTTTTCCCTGCCTGTCTGTGGCTCAGCTGTGAGCTCACTCAGCCCTCTACCCTCAGCTGCCCAATCCCTAAAGTCCTACACCCATCCCAATATCACAATTATAACCTGTTCCAGCTGTCTTTTCCCTCCTTAGATCAGAGTGAGCTGTGCCAAGCAATATTATTGCTTGCCTTACAAAGAGAAGGCTCTCAAACCTCGCTCCACCAGTTTCTGCAGAGTTGTGCCTGCTCTGAAAGACTTTGCAGCATTTCCTGGTTTTGCACTATCCCACATCCACCACCAGATATTTGGATCTGCCAAGCCTGGTGTCTGTGGCTGTGCAGGGAGGATCTCGCCCTTTGCCAGCTCTGCCCTAGCAGCCATTGCCCTTCTCTAGCACTTCAGGTCTCTCACCTCCATTGCAGTCAGTCTTCCTGCTCAATGGCAATGCAGGGATGGGGCTGGATCCGTTAGCTCACCCCCCGTCCCAGAATGCTACCCATGTGCAGACACGGTGAAGCAGCCACATGCACTTGGTGACTTCTTGGCTGTAGATTTCGGACACCAGCTGAAGAGCTTGTGACTCCCATAGCCTCAGGTCTCCTGTCCTCCTGCTTCCCCACGGCACCCAACACCTGCTGGCGCTTGGCATAATCCACCCGAAACCTCTTAATTCTAAGGAGCTATTTAGGGAGCTGTGCTCAAATCCCTTCAAAATCCTCTTTTTCCTGAGGGCTGCAAAAAAATGAATGTCTTTACCCCCATGCCCGGTGCAGCAGCTGCAGGAGCTGTGGGTGATGTAGAAGGCCTTAGGATGGCTTTGATGCTGCTCAAGCACCACAACCCTGGAGATGCAGGGTCGATCCTCCCCAGGACAGGGGAGTTCATCCACCTGCAGCCCCAGTGTGCTCCAGCAGCTGGTCATGAATGTGTGAACGTGTGTGTAAGATGTGCAGTACCACACAGACACTGAGTGGCACCGCCACGTTTTGTCCAGGTGATCGCTGCTCGTAGTCTCTTCACTTTTCTATTAAATGATGCATTGGACGCTGCCATGAAAGTGATGCAAGGTCTGTTCCACTCCTAACACACCTTTCAGGCCTTTGGGAAAGGGAAGATGGGAGACTTTGATTGATGGCTGAAAAGTGAGGGCTCCCATGGGGGCTAGCTGCCAGCACCCCTCTGCCTGCTTGCCTGTGCATCAGCCCCTGGGTCAGACCCTGCCACTCCTTCCTGCCCTCTTTGCCCCTTCCTCTTCTCTGTTTGGCATCCTCTCAATCTCCTGTCTCACCTTCTCCCTTCAGGGAGAAGTATACGCATTTTAACAACTTTCCTCTTCTTTCTGCATCTCTAATGGCACATTCAAGTGATGCTCGTGGTCAGAGGTGCAGGCAGACTGTGACATTCACATTGTCACAGTGGCACAAGCATCACCACCCCTGGCTCCCACTCAGAGCAACTCTGGCACTGGTTTCAGTCCCTGCCATGCCCCTGGAGACTGCATCTCAGTAGGGATGGGACAAAAGAAGGAGAGGGATGAGTGCTCTTGGTGGGAGGTGGACACATCATCTTCCACCCTGCCTGCCCTCCTGATGGCACCACCATACCCACAGCTGTGTCCCCTGCAGTACAAACACCTCGATGCATTTTGGTCCCATATGACGGAGAGAAAGAGAGCTGACATCTCTGTCCCGTCTGCACTTTTTGTCAATGAAGGGATTAGAAATTATAATCTCAGATTTGCATTTTAAAGTGGATTTTCAGCTCTGTGTGGAGCCTCAGCCCAACTTCACCAAGGACCTCAGTGGCACAGCCGCTGTCACAGCCCCAGCAGCCACTGTCACAGCCAGGGGTGCATAGTTGCACTGTCCCTATGGCCACATCTGCAACACTTGCCCCCAGTCTATGGCCCTAGGCCTCAGAACAACTCCTGCTGCAGGGGCTTCTCTGCAGAGCAGAGCCCAGGATCATGTGGTGCCCGAGGGCCCCATGGCTGGAGCTGCTCCCAGGACACTGTCTGCTAAATCGTACTGGTCCCCATCACCCCATAGCCCCCAGAGGCTCCCACTCCTTTCTGCAGCCCCACCCCTCTCTAAGCAGTACATGCTCCCTTCCCTGCGCTTTTCCCCAGGCTCCTTCCTTCACCATATTGGCTTCAGACCCATGTGAAATGTTAGCAAGCTGCTGTTTGCTTCTTTTCCTTGGCATCTCTACTGCCTTTCCTTCTGCTAATTGCTGCAGCAGTGCCACTTCTAGGGCAGGCTGACAGATGGCCAGGATTTATCTTTGAACAAGCCATTTAATAAGTGCTCCTGCTTTTCCCTTGCACATTTCTTTCCCAGCCACATGTCCTGGGCTGCTGCTCAGGCTGTCCTTTTCACTGGGGATGCCAGGAGATATGGCAGAAGCTTAGGGCTGACGTCAGATCCCAGAGGTCACCAGGCTGAAGAGCTGGGAGGCAGAGAGAGGCTGTGGTCCCCCACTGGCTCTCTGTGGCAATGTCCAAGAAAATTTGCTGATGATACTAAACTGGGAGGTTCTGCACCAGAGGGCTGAGGACATGGAACAGGCTGCCCAGGGCAGTGAGCACAGCCCCAAGCTGCTGGAGTTCAAGAGGCTTTGGGACACTGTTCTCTGACAGAGAGGGTTGGATTTTGGGTTGTGCTGTCTGGAGCCAGGAGTTGAACTAGGTGGTCCTTATGGGTCCCTTCCAATTCAGAAGGTTCTGTTGGGGATGAGTGGCAGCAGGATGGTGAACACAGGGAATGAACATGGTGATGCAAGAGGTGGGCGCAGAGCAGGGAGAAAGCCCTACATGGCAAGCAGGAGATGGGGCATTCATCCTTCCTGTGGCTGGCACTGTCTCAATCCCATCTGGTCAGCTCTGCAAGCACTCAGCCTGAGGTTGTGAGCATTTGAGATAGTGGAGAGCTGAAGCCTTCTGCAACGGGTGGGAGTAGAAATGTGTATGTCTACTATCAGGATAGACACATCTTAGAGAGACACTTGAAGTGTTTTTACCACTAGTTTCGTCCCTTGAGTCCCGTGGACAAAGAGCTTTTGCACTCTCTTTCCACTCCCTTTTGTTGAAATGAAGTTGGTACTGGCTGGGAGGATCTTCCCTCAGGAGCAGAAGGGCTGAGGGAGACAGAAAGGCTGGAGCACAGCATCGCACAGCTTAAGGCCCCACTCCACATGCTTGAGAAGAAGTCCAGCTCGTGGGGTGTATGGATTAAGGCAAAATCCACAGCTTTTAACCTCAGCTGCACTCATTAGTTGCAGAAAAGATGCTCCAAGATCACCCAAGTGTGATAAAGCTCCTGAACTGACAGAATCACACAGTCCTGATTGCCAAGTTGGCTTCATTCTTGAGGAAGCATCTTGTATCCAGATGTCTAAGGTAGGGCAGCAGGGTGAGCACGGCTCTTGCTGCACTCAAGATCTCGCAGTGGCTCTACAGAGTGACACCTCTCCCTTGGCAGCTGTGATGACAAGAAATCTGAACCTTTAGGGAACTGTGGAGATGACTGGAGGTGACCAGCTGTCCCCAGATTCCCTGAAACCCCAGCACAACTTTCCAGAGTCTCCCAGGCATTGTAGAAAGGGGCCTATCATGTCCTGTATGCAACAGTTGTACTACAGCCTCTGTCCCTGATAAGAGACTGTGATGTGGCAGTTTTGGACTTGGGGTAAGGCTCCTGCTGCATACTGATCCCACAGGGCCCCAGTGCCTGTGTTGGCCTTGGGACGAGACTCTGATCCAGGGCAGGACACAGCAGGGCACGCAATGCTGAGGTCAGTGGCACCTCTCCTAACACCTCACTTGATGTGGCAGGGTGGGACCTGCTTATAGGAAGCACGTGAGGGATGTGTTTGATTTAAAGTCCATCTTGAAAGGATCAGAGAAAAGCGCTTCTCAGAATTCTCTGTGGAAAAGAGTGGCATATACTGATGAGCTCTGAATGCACTAGGGCTTGGTTATTTGTCAACTATGTAGACAATATAACATATATTGTCTATATAGCTGTATAGATGCAGTAAGGCAGTTGTGGTGTATGCTTTTTGGGTTGTAAACTCTTTGTATTGGCACTGCCTATATGTGCCTACACACTATCCATGGCAAAGAGTCTGGCCATCTTCTTATTAACAATAGCTAGTATATGTGCAGCAGAGTAAGGCAGGAGTATAACACATATAGACAATCTGTTTTTATTGCTTTCATCTTTACAGCCAGGTGTGTGATCTAAACATCAGGCAGAAACTTCTCCAGATAATTTCCTGTTTCAAAACATCTTAGAAAGTGGATGTGTTTGGGATGGACCGATAGATAATACATCTGTGGCACACAAAAACAGAAATGGAAGCCTCTGAATCCCTGCGAATTCCTATCCGTGTCTCAGGGATTTCTGCCCTCTCAAATGTTTCACCAAAGGCCTTTGGATCTGAGGGATTCTTTGAAGCCAGCAAAGAATGTGCAGCCTACAGACTGCTTCCTCAGCAGGTGCAGTCCAACCCCAGCTG